AGCAAACAGGCCAGCCTCCAGCGTCAGAGCTGAGCATTCCAGCACAGGACAAACGGCCCTTTATGGGGCCCTGTGCCTTCCCTGCCCACTCCCCAGGTAGAGGCTGTCCTGGGCTATGAGGGAAGGGTCCTCGCTATGGGGACCAAGGCCCACCCCCTCTCCAGGTGGCTTTCAGCTCATTCCCAGCCACTGCTGCCCAGGCTAGGCCAGATCCCTGTGGTGTGGTGGGGGAGGGAGTCAGTTCAACCAGTTTTATCTGCCTCATATGAGTTTTTGTTTTGTTTTGTTTTGTTTTTTAATATGAGTTTATAAAAGAAGTTTATCATGGTACAAAAAATTTTTTTGAAATCCATGCATATGAGGGGTCTTCAAAAAAGGTTATCAAAGGGGCTGGTGCTGTGGTGTAGCAGGTTAAGCTGCTGCCTGCAATGCCAACATCCCATAAGGGTGCTAGTTCAAGTCCTGGTTGCTCCACTTCCAATCCAGTTCCCTGCTGATGTGTCTGGGAAGGCAGTGGAGGATGCCCAAGTGCTTGGGCCCCTGCACTCACATGGGACACCAAGAGGAAGCTCCTGGCTCCTGGCTTTAACCTGGCCCAGCCCTGGCCATTGTAGCCATCTGGGGAGTGAACCAACTGATTGAAGATTTCTCTCTGTCTCTCCCCATCTCTCTGTCAAATAAATAAATAAATAAATAATTTTTAAAAAAGTCATCAAAAATGCATACAATGCAAACACTATCGATAGATTCCAAGTTTGCATCAAAATAAAGTTGTTTCAGTAACTCAAATTTTCTGTGAAATTTGGGAATATGCTCATACATGGGGGTCCCCACGAATGCTGCCACCCCCATTCCCTGCAGGAGCCAGCTTTTCCTTAGGAGAAGGATGCAGGAGCCAGCTCCAGCAGGCCCTCTCCTATCCAAGCTGGCCTGCTGCCCAGGAGCCCCAGCCTGCCTGGGAGCGCCCCTCCCCCGCTCTCCCCACTCTCTCCTCCCACCCCTCCCGTGTTTTTATTTGGAAATAACTTTTCAATCTTCAGGAAAACTTGCAAGAAGAATACAAAGAATCATTTATTTAGGAGAACAGAGATGACTCAAAAAAAGGGCCTGCGGGGCAGATAAGTGCAAGCTGTCCACCCATGCCTCCCCCACCAACTCTAATCCACTGGACCGCATCGTCCTTGGACACAGGGTTCCCACGAGGCCCCCACATCCCTCACCAGGAAGGTCAGCTGGCGTCGACTGAGCCCTGAGCCCCGCCTTGCAGAGGAGGTCGACCTAAGCTCCCAAGGCCTGGGTCCGTTATGTCCAACTGTTGTGGACTCTCTGTCGGGGACAGTGAGGGCAAGGTGACAGGTCACCATCTCCAGCGTCTTCTTCCCCAAGTCCAGGCTGTAGAGCCTACGGGAGGGACCTACCCCTCGACCACCTGCCGTCACTCTCCAGCTAGGAGCCCGGTGGAACGCATGCGCGGGCCTCCTATCTGAGGTCTCCTACATATACAGGGCAGTAGCAAAGAGCTAAAGGAAGAAATTCCACAACCTGGCCCCCTTGATTCATGCCCTTGGTTCATTCTCCCTCATTAATTCCTTCTACCCTGGCCCCAGCCCCGGCCCCGTGACTGTAACCAAAGGCCCACATAGGGGGGCACAAGCAAGGTCCCCAGGAATCAGGCCCACTTGTGCCCACCGCCCTTTGTCAATATGAAGCCACTGCTCCCCTATCAAGAGGCGGGCGGAGTCCTAAGTGTAGCCGTTTAAGCTGCTGCTTGTGATCCTATTAACGGGCCATGGTGCACGTCCCCACTGCTCAGCTTCTGATCCAGCTCCCGCTAACGCTCCAGCTATAGCTGTTGCTGTCATATGAGGGAGTGAATTAGCAGATGGAAGATATGTGTGTGTGTGTCTCCTCTTTATATAAAACTGCATTTCAAATAAATAAATCCTTATAAAATAGAAAAGATTGGGGCCGCTGCGGTGGTGTAGTATGTTAAGTCTCCACCTGCAGCGCCGGCATCCCATATGGGCGCCGGTTTGAGTTCCCACTGCTCCATTTCTGATCCAGCTCCCTGTTTGTGCCCTGAGAAAGCGGCAAGAAGATGGTCCAAGTGCGTGTGCCCCTGCACCCATGTGAGAAACCCAGGTGAAGCTCCTGGTTCCTGGCTTTGGATGGGCCCAGCTCTGGCCATTGTGGCCATTTGGGGAGTGAACCAGCAGGTGGAAGTTCTCTCTCTGTTTCTCCCTCTGTAACTGCCTTTCAAATAAATAAATGAAATCTTTTTTAAAATTACATTTTTTAAGGGGCCGGCACTGTGGCGCAGTGGGTTAACGCCCTGGCCTGAAGCGCCGGCATCCCATATGGGCGCCGGTTCAAGTCCTGGCTGCTCCTCTTCCAATCCAGCTCTCTGCTATGGTCTGGGAAAGCAGTAGAAGATGGCCCAAGTCCTTGGGCCCCTGCACCCACATGGGAGACCTGGAAGAAGCTCCCGGCCACTGGCTTCAAACTGGTGCAGCTCCGGCTATTGCGGCCATCTGGGGAGTAAACCAGCAGATGGAAGACCTCTCTCTGTCTCTACCTCTCTCTGTAACTCTTTCAAATAAATAAATCCTTTTTAAAAATGTAATTTTTTATATAAATAAAATTAAAAAATAGAAAAGAGGCAGAGTCCTGCTCTCCATCCCCTTGGGCTGGGCTCGGAACTGCTGTCAACAATACGGTGAAGTGAGCTCACAGCCCAGGCAGCATCCACCTTTCGTCTTGGAACCCAGCTCCCACGTGAAGATGTTTGGGCTCAACTTGCAGGTCAAAGACCCATCACAGGGGCCAGAGGTCCCTGCCTCCAGGGTCCCCACTGGGGTACCAGGCACGTGGGTTAGGCCACCCGGCAATGCCAGCTTCAACTGACCCTTGGCTGAAGACAACCACATGAACAAGCTCTGGGGACAGCCACGCCAAGAACCACCTACCAATCCACAGAACCCTGGGAGAGCAAATCGTGCTGTTGTTTTAAAGGTGTATTTATTTATTTGAAAGGCAGAGTTACAGACATAGAAGGAGACAGAGAGAGGATTATCTCCTCTGCTGGTTCTCTCTCCTAAATGACTGCCATCCAGGTCTCCCACATGGGCAACAGAGATCCAAGCACTTGGACTGTCCTCCACCACTTTCCCAGGAACATGAGCAGGGAGCTGGATCGGAAGTGGAGCAGCCGGGACTTGAACTGGCGCTCTGGCTGTTTCACGTCCTGGTGGACGGCATCGTGGTGGAAGCATGAATGAGGTGGGAGAGACCCCCATGGTGAGATGGGAGGCCAGTGCCTGGGGAGGGGCCCGTCTTGCTCTTTCAAAACAACCCCCTTTCAAGGGAACTAACTGGGGTCCCAGGGCAGCTCTGTTACGTCTCTTCTGAGGGTGCGGTCCCACTAGCTTCACCACCTTCCAATTCTTCCTCTTAGGGGCTACCTGCTGCCCTGGGGACCAAGTGTCCAGCACGGGATCCCCGGCGGGGGTGGATGGGGAACAGGCCAGATCCAGAGGCTGACTGACACAAACCCCGACACAACCCTGGACCCAGCTTCCTCACCCTGTGCCTCGGTAACTGTCACCGCCTGTGATGACAGACAGACCCGTCTGCCCAGGCCACGCCACCCCATGTTTTACTGCAGGAGGTTGAGCTGTTTCCAGCTTTCCACGGTTGTGAACACAATGAGCAGCCTCACGGGAGAGGAAGAGGCGGGGTGGAAAGAAAGGTCAGATTTCCTTAGGAAAACACCGAGGGTGGGTTGACGGGGTCTGAGGTTAGACCGTGGGGGTACACTGAGGGTGGGCTGACAGGGTCTGAGGTTAGACCGTGGGGATGATTCTTCAGCAGTGTAGATGCACAGTTTAAAGACAGCCTTGTGGCATGATGGAATGGGGGTAGGGGGCTGGGGGGGGCCACACGTGGACTTGGCCACCCTGGCATCGGCACTGGGGGTGCCCCAGCTTATCAAGGCCACTCAGGCCCAGCCAGAGAGGAAAATACTTGGAGCACTCACCCGTGAAACGCGCCCACAGCTTCCTCCCAAACACTCAGTGGCGGGGCGTGGAGAGATAGGTGAACAGAAAGTGTGCCTAAAGCACTTCTCAGCTAGACTGTGTCATTACGTCATTACCAGCACGGCACGGCTTCCTCAACACGGCCACATGAAAGGGAAGGTGGTTATTCTAGAAAACCACCCAGGTTTACAGGAAAGGTGAAACTCCCGGAATCTTGGTCACTTTTTTTTTTTTTTTTAAAGATTTATTTACTTATTTGAGAGGCAGAGTTAGAGAGAGGGAGGGAGAGACACATGGCCACAAAGGCAAGCCAAAGCCAGGAGCCAGGAGCCTCCTCCAGGGTGCAGGGGCCCAAGCACTTGGGCTGTCCTCTGCTGCTTTCCTAGGCACATTAGCAAGGAGCTGGATCAGAAGTGGAGCAGCCAGAACTCAAACCGGTGCCCATATGGGATGCCAGTATCACAGGGAGCAGCTTAACCCGCTATGCCAAACGCTGGCCCCTCGGCTGCTGTCTTAATTAACTCCTTGGTTAACGCGTCCCACATCCCTAGGGATTCTGGAACTACCAAGTGCGATGTAAGACCTCAGTCCTGTCTCAAGGCTGGGGCCCAATGGTGTCATTGCCACATGCCAGAAGACTCCAGGCCTGCCCACCTTGTCCCACACAGAAGGCAGAGTATCATGAACAGGGGGCCGGCACTAGGGCACAGCGAGTAAGGCCGTCGCCTGCAACACCAGCATCCCATGTGGGCACAGGCTCAAGTCCCAGCTGCTCTACTCCCGATTCGGCTCTCTGCTAATACACCTGGGAAAGCAGCGGAAGATGGCCCAAGTGCTTGGACTCCTGCCACCCATGTGGGAGACCTGGAAAAAGTTAGTGGCTCCTGGCTTCGGTCTGACTCAACTCTGGCCATTGTGGCCATTTGGGGAGTGAAACAGCGAATGGAAGATCTCTAACTCTGCTTTTCTTTCTTTCTTTTTTTTTTTTTTTAATTAATTTATTTTTTTGACAGGCAGAGTGGATAGTGAGAGAGAGAGAGAGACAGAGAGAAAGGTCTTCCTTTGCCGTTGGTTCACCCTCTAATGGCCGCCGCAGCCGGTGCACTGTGGCCGGCGCACCGCACTGATCCGAAGGCAGGAGCCAGGTGCTTCTCCTGGTCTCCCATGTGGGTGCAGGGCCCAAGCACTTGGGCCATCCTCCACTGCACTCCCGGGCCATAGCAGAGAGCTGGCCTGGAAGAGGGGCAAATAAATCTTAAATTTTTTTTTAAATATTTTATTTATTTATTTGAGAGGTGGAGTTACAAACAGTGAGAAGGGGAGACAGAGAGAAAGGTCTTCCATCCATTGGTTCACTCCCCAAATGGCCACAACGACTGGAGCTGCGCCAATCCAAAGCCAGGAGCCAGGAGCTTCTTCCCAGTCTCCCATGCGGGTGCAGGGGCCCAAGGACCTTGGCCATGTTCCACTGCTTTCTCAGGCCATAGCAGAGAGCTGGACTGGAAGAGGAGCAGCCAGGATTAGAACTGGCGCCCATATGGGATGCCGGTGCCACAGTGCCAGCCCCAATAAATCTTAAATTAAAAAGTCTAATGAACAAGTGCAGTGCCCATCCTCCATCCTCTACTCTGGATTCATCAATGACTTGCCCAGGGACCCCAGGTTTGTAGCCACCCTATCAGCAGACGGGAGTCACACAGAACCCCTCCCCCAGCTCTCCTGAACCAGGGCTGAGGCCTGCACTACCCAGGAAAGGCTGACTCAAGTTTCCCTGGCACAGAAGGTGCCAGAAAACAGGGGTGGAGCTTGCAGCCAGAACCCCACCTTTCCAAGAACTCCCGCCTTCTGTATCCGTGACCTGCTACATTCCAGAGAGCTGTGCTCACCGTGGCTATTAAGTGCGTGGTTCCCTAAGCGATGCCTGTGGGCACTCATGCAGGAGGGGCCTGTTTGCCCGGGCTCAGGAGTAAAAACACCCCCAGCCCTGCTCACAGCCGTGCTCTCTGCACGGTAGCCAAAGGTGCAAACGGGCCTCAGGTGTCCACCTCAAAAAGCCTGGCAAACGGAAGGGAATTCAAACCTGTGCTCCATTGCTTGGCAAGACACAAAAGGGCAGGGCTTGAAGGGCCTGGAGCTGTCAGATCCACAGAGACAGAAAGCAAACAGAGCCTGGGGGAGGAGGAAGTGGGGAGTACTGTTTAACGAACCGGAGTTTGGGAAGATGACAAATGTTCTGGAGCCGGATGGTGGCTGCTGTGGCTCCCGGACCTGTGTAGGCTTTTAAACCTCTTCCTAAGCTGTAAGTTTAAGGAGCCGAAATGGTGGAAGCTTCGTCCAGATGGGGTGTGCGGCAGGTGGCCCCCCAGGAGAGGTCCCCAGGGCACTGCGTGTGTGACCTGGAAGGTGGCTTTCAGGGGAGGGCCGGCTGCAAGGCCTGATGGGGCTCAGCCTCCTCCCCACTCCCTCACCACCTGCGCCTTCCTCCGCCCCACTCCCTCGCCACTTCCACCTGTTGCCCTCGACAGACAACACACCAACGATCTCCGACCTCCAACACCGCGCGCTAAATAACAAACCTCTCTCTTCTCCGTACTGTAACATGTCTCAGGTCTTTCGTGTTGTACCCAAGCAAACCTGATGGATACAGTGGTGGCGACAGTAACAGGACACTGTCAATGCACTTAGTGTCTCTGTCGGTAAAAGTTTACTGAAAAGTGAAGGCGTGGGGTGGGTGCTGCAGGTTAAGCCTCTGCTTGTGACACCAGCGTCTCATCTCAAGAGCACTGGTTCAAGTCCCAGCCGTTCCACTTCCAATCCAGCTCTCTTCTAATGTGCCTGGCAAAGCAGAAGATGGCCCAAGAGCTTGGGCCTCTGCCATGCACAGGCGAAACCCACATAGAGTTCCTGGCTCCTGGCTTCAGCCTGGCCCAGCCCCAGCCATCGCAGCCATTTAGGGAGTAAACCAGCAGATGGAAGACCTCTCTTTCTGTCACTCTCTCTGTATCTCTTTCAAAGAAACAAACATAAATCTTGAAGCAAATGAACAAAAAAAGTGTTCAAAAACAAAGTCCCTGTTTTTGGAAATGGGCACCGTGGACTTTTCCAATTCAGATGGAAAAAGGCAGCTTCTCTTCTTCCACTGTGGCTTCTTCAAAACAAAAAAATACAAAAGTAAACCCAAACACGCAGCCAGCCGATGCAGCGGTCAGCATCCTCTCCCACCGTCTGTCGTAACAGCGCCTAAGATAACAGCACTGGGGATAACGGTGCTACTGCGCGCTCTCTGTGCACCAGCGGCCATGCGCAGTGATCTGCAGGGCACATCCCTGACTGGGGACCGCTTGGTCATCCCACCCACCCTCAGGCACGCATTTTCCCCGGAGTCTCCACCTCATTCACCGTGGGGCTGTAACTGGAAGTGCTGCCTTCCCTCATCCTGGTGCATCCACTGATAGGCGGACCTCGTCCTGGGGGGAGTCGTGGGAGGAATACAATGTGCGGAGTGCAGGCTGGGGCCCGGCTCTGCCTTCCTAGGAGGGACCTGGGCCCAAACGTCCCACAAGGAGGGAGCTCTCTGCCTCTCGGCCCAGCCTCCGCCTCCTCTACACTCAGGTCCCCCCGGCTTAGGAACATGAGTCAGCACTGCTTGGCCAGCACCCACTCTGGCAGGCTGAACCCTGACGTTCCCAGCGCTGATGGCCGTGTCCGGGACTGCGAGTGTCCACAGGAGGACGCAGGCTGCTCGGCAAAGCAGAGGGGTCAGCTGCGTCCTCTCGGAGACAGTGCCAGGGGACAGCCAGGAGGACAGAACCAGATAAGGAAGGTTCTGGTGGGCCCTCCCCAGGACGGCATGCTGTGGGGGAAGCCCCAAAGCTGCCCAAATCAGACAGCGTTCGTGGCACTGCCTGTCCTCGCCCTGCTGTGAGATCGGCAGTGTCCCAGCGGCGGAGAGAAAAGCCAGCTGGGCCCTAGCGTCTCCAAGTCCTCTGCAGACAAGACATTGATTTATGACCAAATAATTCATCCCCTGGCCCGGGTAATACTGGGAACAGGGCGAGCAGCTTCCAGCTGCCATAGCTCTTGGCCAGAGAGCAGGTGCATCTATTTCCCTCTCCAACGGGGCGAACAAGCCCAGTGCCAGTCATAGGCACCCTCTCTGCCAGTACAAGAGCGGGCTGTCCACGGAGGTCACGCATGCTGAGATACACGGAGCAATGCTCACAGCGGGCACACGCATGGAGGTCTGGCCGGCTGTGCCATTCTAGAAGCTGCCGGCATTCTCTCCCCTGGATAGGCTGAAACAGAGGCCAGCCCAGGCCTCCCAGAGCCCAGCGGGGGCGAAGTCCAGGGCCTCTAGGTTTTCTGCATCCACACAGCAACAACTATAACAGGTTTCTGGAAAGCTGGAGTGCTGTCTGCTGCGGCCCTGGGCTCCTGGGCAAAAACCAGACGCCACAGTGGTTCCAGGGACAACTTGGGCCCAGGCTCAAGGGGGAACTGAGGACCGGGGCCACTGGAAGGCAGGGGCCAAAGGACGCCACGTGCATGATGGAAAAAAAGCACACTGGTGAGTGCCAGCAGTGAGGAGGAGAAGCGAATGGGGAGAGACCACGAGTGAGCGTGGATTTTCTTTTGGGGGTGATGACAATGTTCTAGAATCGGAGATCGGTGATAGTCGCACAACTGTGACCACGCTAGAAGCCGCTAAGCGGTGCACTTCAAATGGGTGAACTACACAGCAATGTCAAGTCATGGCTCCAGACAGAGGTCAGAACGGAGCAGTCAGGGAGAGGACAGCACTGACCCATCCCTGGGACACAGGACTCCCTGGTTACTATGAAGAAGAACGAGCGAGCGGTACGCCCAACAGCTTGGAACATTAAGTGCGTGATCTATGTGAAGGAAGAAGGATCCAAAAGGCTACGAGCCGGACGCTTCCATTTATGTAATGTCCAGGAAAAGACAGACCCATGGGAGAGAAAGCATGTCAGTGGCCACCCGGGGCCCACGGGGATGGGTGCTCCTGGGGCATGGATGACCATCGGGTACTGTGATTAGGGAGCTGGATCAGAAGCGAAGTGGCCAGAACTTGAACTGGCACCTGGATACGTGGTGTGGGTGTCCCCAGTTTAAGGCTCTGCACGAAGGTGGTTTCCAGGGGCTGAGGGGCAGGGGAATGGGGAGTCAGCGTCAAACGGGTCCAGAGTTTCAGCTCTGCGAGATGGAAGAGCTCTGGACACAGACGGCAGAGACGACTGTGCACCACAAGAACGTCTCCACACTGAGCTGTGTATTTAAAAATGGTCAAGGAGCCGGTGCTGCGGCACAGTGGGTAAAGCCGCCATCTGCAGCGCTGGCGTCCCATATAGGCGCCAGTTTGTGTCCCAGCTGCTCCACTTACGATCCAGCTCCCTGCTATGGCCTGGAGAAACAGTGGAAGATGGCCCAAGTCCTTGGGCACCTGCACCCACATGGGATACCCGGAGGAAGCTCCTGGCTTCGTATCGGCACAGCTCTGACCATTGAGGCCATCTGGGGAGTGAAACAGCGGATGAAATACCTCTCTCTCTCTCTCTGCCTCTCCTTCTCTCTTGTGTAACTCTGACTTTCAAATAAATAAATAAGTCTTTTTTTTTAATAAAATAATGGTCAAGATGGTTAAGTTTTATGCTAAGTATATTTTAACACAATTAAATAAAACAAACAAAAAGCCCCAACCATGCTTTCCCACAGTCCTAAGTGTGTGTATGCGTGCTGTGGACCCTGGCATCACAGCCAAAGACTTGAGCCGTTACTGCTGCCTCCGGTCTGCACTGGTGGGAACCTGGAGTCAGGAGCTGCAGCCAGGGATCACGCTGGGGCACTGCAATATGAGACACAGGCATCTTAACCAGCACTCAAACCGCCAGGCCAAACGGCCACCCGTGCTTCCAAGATTAACCAGTGGCCAGCCTTGTTCCAGGGCCTGAATATTCATCACCGTGATGCAGCAGGAGAAAAGGGGGAGGAGGAGGAGGAGTGGGAGAGCAGGTGCCACCCCCACCCCGGCTTCTCCACCTCCAGCCACTTGCTTGAGGAAAGAGTCCTCCCGGGGACAAGGAAGACCGACCCCACCTGCCCCACAGGTTCCAGGGAGAAGCCTGTCAGGCTCCCAGACAGATGGGGACACCCACTCACGGCACTGTCCCCTCTTGCACAATCACTCAGGAGGCGGCTCGCTGCGGGACACGGGTCGGCAAGCTCCAGCCCACTGCCACCTGCTCTCGTGGGACCGTGGGCTCCACGTCCACAGAGGGAACAACCACAGATGGAGAATACTCGAGATCCCTACTGGACACGTATGGGCTTTTTTTTCTTCCCATTATTCCCTAAACCACACAGTATGATGGGCATTTACATAGCACTGACACTGCTTTAGGTCTTATAAGTAACCTACAGATGACCTGAAGCATACGGGAGGATGTGTATACTTACATGCAAATACTACGTCAGCACTACCCAAGGAGGGTCCTTGAACCAGTCGGCCATGGATACCGAGGGACAACTGTTCCCACACAGCAGCCTGGACCCTGCCTCTTGGCCACCAAGACGAAATTAGCTACTGACTGGCCCTTTAAGAAAATGCGGCCAATCCCGACACTGTACAGCCAAGAGCAGAGACTCAAATAAAACCTCCCCAACCCCCATTCAAATCCAGCTTCTATCGTGGGGGCTTCTTAACGCTTCCTAAGAGAGCTGCAGCCACAATGCTCCCTGCAGGGAGTGGAGGAGATGGGGCCCATCAGCAGCAGAGAGCCACATTCAAGTGCAACATTCCAGGAAAGGCTGGGCCCTCCCTCTCCTCTCCTCTCCACCCCCCCCCCCCCCCCCCCACAGGACTGTCAGAAGAAGGAACACAGGCGAATTCAGACAGAGGGGTTCCGGGAGGTCAAGTGCACCTCAAGCCAAGCCTGTCCCACAGAACATTCTGGAGGGAAGGACGGGCTTCCATGGAGGCACGCGCACCCCACAGAGCACCGGCATTCAGCCTGCCCCCTTCCTGTCCTCCTCCTGACTGACCAGGCCCTCCCAAGGCCTCGCCGGCTCTCCAGCTGGCACTGAGAACACTCAGAGAAGCGTAACGGGGACCAGACGGGCAGCTTCCTCTGCAGGAAGCGAGGCCTGGATTCTGATCCCAGGTGGGGCCGGTGCTGAGGCCAGCAGGCTGTCGGAGGGGCTGGGTCATCATCTGTGACGGCAGTAAACAGCGGCCTCAGAGCACCCAAGGCATGGAAACACCGGGCAGCCGGGCAGCCGAGCCCTGCTCATCTCAGTGCTGGCCTCAGCACAGCATCCCAGCCACGCAGGGCTGTCCTGTGACTGGCAAGGCCCCAGCTGGCACTACCAGGCCTCCCACTGCCAGCCACCTGCTTGGACGCCATCACCTGCACCCTGGCAGACACCCACAAGGGGCCTCCACCCCCTCCCATGCTGCTGACTGGGCCTCCTGCTGCTGCCCACACTCGGCTGCAGACACCCGTCCTAGCCCTCAGACTGGCTGCTGGGCAGTTTGAGAAGACGGTGGCCGATCAGGCAATAGGCACGAGCTGCCCCTCCCCCACCTTGGGCTCTGCAGACCTGCACCACAACAGGAAGCTCTGGGGCACCTGCGGGGGGGGGGGGGGGGAGGGCTCCAAGTAACCTGCTGGGAACTCAGAGCCACAGGACTCCTCACTTCTAGTCGGGATCACAAATAATTTAAAGGCAGCTCCAAGACGCAGACGCTCAGCTTCCTCACCGACAGACAGGAACCCAGAGGCCCGAGGAGTTTGAGTGACAGCCAGTACTGCTGAGCCCGAGAAGCAGTAGTCCCGCCTCTTTAAGGCACTCCCAAAGACAAGAAAGTGTGACTCCCACTGCAGGCGGGGCTGGTCCAGGCTGCAAACCTGCGCCCTTCCTTCTCCTCTCCCCGCCATCCACGCCCGGGATTCCGGGCTGCTCTCCCCTGGCTACGCTCCGACACCCGACCGACAGTCCATCCCTGCTTGAAGTCAACATGCACGGGGCGGCGTCTGGGCTGACCGGCGCCCTGGTCCACCTCTGCCAGCCACCTGCAGCCACAGAGCCCCACGCCAGCCCCTCTCCCTCTGGGAAAGCCCTTCTCCACCCTGGCCTTCTGCTCCCTTGGAGCTTTAGGGAAAATCCAGCTGGAACTCCATGAGCCAGGACTCCCTGGACAACCCTACTGAGCAGACCTGACCCCAAGGGCAGGATGCACACACAGCAAGTAAACCAAGAGGCTTTTTCAGATCCAGTTTCAAGCCGTCCAGGGCAGCAAGAAACTGACGGGTTTCCCGATAAACAAGAGGATCATGGGGTTCTTTCACTCTCAAAGGCCACGGAGCTGATAAAGAACTAAGTGTCCCCTAGCCACTGGCCACAGCGAGACCTCAGCCTAGGGAGGTTCCCAATCCAGGACTGGCTGTTTTTGTAGGTCACCAAGGAAATCAGGTGGGGCCCAGCCAAGGACAGACGGCCCTGACCGAAAGATACCTTAACCTCAAATTCTGTTTCGTTGGCTGAAAACCCCATACCATGACTTTGAAATTCTGGAAGGTGAGGCCCCATCCACTTGGCCTTCTTGTCACCGGACAGAAGTGTTTTAATAAAATCCTGCAGTGCCAGTGCTGGGGCACAGCAGGTTAGGCAGCTGCCTGCGATGCCAGCATCCCAAAAGAGCACGGCTGCGAGATCCCACTGTTCCTCTTCTGATCCAGCTTCCTGGCCATGCGCCTCGGAAAGAAAGCAGCAGAGGATGGCCCAAGTACTGGGGCCCCTGCCGCCCACGTGGGAGACCCGGACGAAGCTCCAGGCGGCTGCTTTCAGCCTGTCTAGCCCTGGCTGGCTGTTGCGGGCATTTGGGGAGTGAACCAGAGGACAGACAATCTCTCTCTGTCTCTGTATCTGTTTCTCTCTAACTGTGCCTTTCAAATAAAAAATATTTTTTTTAATTTTATTTATTTTATTTTTTTTTTTTTTGACAGGCAGAGTGGACAGTGAGAGAGAGAGAGAGAGAGACAGAGAGAAAGGTCTTCCTTTACCGTTGGTTCACCCTCCAATGGCTGCCGCGGCCGGTGCGCTGTGGCTGGCGCACCGTGCTGATCCGATGGCAGGAGCCAGGAGCCAGGTGCTTTTCCTGGTCCCCCATGGGGTGCAGGGCCCAAGTACCTGGGCCATCCTCCACTGCACTCCCTGGCCACAGCAGAGAGCTGGCCTGGAAGAGGGGCAACCGGGACAGAATCCGGCGCCCCGACCGGGACTAGAACCTGGTGTGCCGGCGCTGCAAGGCGGAGGATTAGCCTATCGAGCCGCGGCGCCGGCCAAAAATCTTAAAATAAAATTAAAATCCTGCAAGAAAAAAAAAAAAAACAAAGGCAAGGGAGACATCACAGTAAGGGAAAATTAATCTGGAAATCAAGGATAAACTCAAGCAGCACCTCTGGATGGGCCCTGGGCAGCAGTGACTCAGGAAACAAACTGAGAGATGCCAGCCCTGTCTGGGCACAATCAGAAATCTGAACAGAAGCCCGTACGGGAAGATGCTCACTGCCTGAACTGTTCACTTAAAAACGGTTGAGACAGAGTTGGTGTCGTGGTGCAGTGTGTTAAGCCATCAGCTACAACGCTGGAAAGTTCTGGAAAAGGGAGAGGGTGGCTGCCCACCAATGGGATGGGCTTATTGATACCCAGGATGTAGACTAGAAAATGGCCACAATGGGAAACTGTTTGTCATGTATATTTTATCACACTTAATAATTCAGGAGGGGCTGGCATCGTAGTGCAGCAGAGGTAAAGCTGCCACTCGGGATGCCGGCATCCCTTATGAGCGCCAGCTCTCAGCTGCGGCCTGGGAAGGCAGTGGAGGATGGCCCAGGTCCTTGGGCCCCTGCACCTGCACGGGAGACCTGGAGGAGGCTCCTGGCTCCTGCCTGTGGATTGGCACAGCTCCAGCTGTTGTAGCCAACTGGGGAGTGAACCAGTGGATGGAGGACCTCTCTCTCTCTCTCTCTCTCTCTCTCTCTCTCTCTGCCTCCTTCTCTGTGTAGCTCTGACTTTCAAATAAATAAATAAATCCTAAAAAATATCATAATGTAATAAACCAGGAACTGCTGGATTACACACTTTAAACAGGCAAATTGTATGCTATGTGAGTTAGAACTGGAGGAAGCTGTTAACCAAAAAAAGATGCTGACTGAATCATTGTAATATCCAACAACATACAGCAAGGGCTCTGAATGTCCAACAAAACTCTTGAAACCATAGCTCTGTTACAAAGAAATAATGCAGTCTTTTTTTTTTTTTTTAAGATTTATTATTTATTTGAAAGTCAAGAATTACACAGAGAGAGGAGAGGCAGAGAGAGACAGAGAGGTCTTCCACCCACTGGTTCACTCTCCAGTTGGCTACAACGGCCAGAGCTGTGCTGATCCGAAGCTAGAAGCCAGGAACTTCCTCCGGGTCTCCTACGTGGGTGCAGGGGCCCAAGGACTTGGGCCATCTTCTACTGCTTTCCCAGGCCACAGCAGAAAACTGGATCAGAAGTGGAGCAGCCGGGACCCGAACCAGCGCCCATATAGGATGCCAGCACTGCAGGCAGCGGCTTCACTCGCTATGCCAGAGCACTGGCCCCATAGAGCAATAACGTGGTCCTTTAAAAACAATGTTTACAGGGGCTGGCATTGTGGCATAGTTGGTTAAGCCACCACTTGCATCCCATATGGGCTCTGGGTTCAAGTCCAGAGTGCTCCACTTCTGACCCAGCTCCTTTGCTAATGCATGTCAGAAAGTAGCAAAAGATGGCACAAGTGCATGGGTCCCTGCTACCCAAGTGGGAAACCCGAATGAAGCTCCTGGCTCCAGCCTGGCCCAGCCCCAGCCATTGTGGCCAACTGGGGAGTGAACCAGGGGGTGGAAGATAGCTCTCTCTCTCTCCCCCTAACTCTGCCTATCAAATAAAAAAAAATCTAAAATAAATAAATGTTTACAAAACATTTACCAGCACAAGAAAATGCTCACATTAATCGACAAAGGCAAGACACCCAACTCCCCAGCAAGATCTCAGCTCTGTAAAATAATTTGACATGACTAAGTATGAAGGCAGGAAGAAAGAAAATTAAATTCTCTTTAACACTGAGCAGAAACCTGTCTCCCGGAAGCTTTGAGCCATTAATGACACTCTGGCCTCCCAGATGTGACCCCAAAGAAATCCACTTGCTCCTCTTTGCCAGCCCCCCTCAAAGTCATGGCCAGTGTCTGCAGATTCCAGAAGCTGAGGGGTTGGAACCCTGGCCACGGAGCACCATCACCCATGGAGCCTTTCAAAGACCCCTTCCTGGGAGGAGAAATGCCAACAGCCCTGTGCAACTGCCTATGCAGAGGGCCTGACTCCAGAACCGGAAGGTGGGAGGGGGGCAGCTGACAGCCAGCAAGACAATGGGGACCTTAGTCCTACAACCCCCGGGAACTGGGACTCTGCCAGCAACCTGAAGGAGCCTGGGAGAGGACCACACACTCAGATGGAACACAGCCCCAGCTGATATCCTGACTGCAGCCTCGCGAGACTCTGAGCAGTGTGGATCCTGCGGACCCCATGCCCAGAAACTCAGACATTAAGAAAGCAAAGCAGAGGGGCTGGAGTCGTGGCGTAAGGGGTAAATCTGCAGCCGGCATCCCATAGGGGTGCAAGTTCGAGACCCCACTGCTCTGTTTTCTATCCATCTCTCTGCTGTGGCCTGGGAAAGCAGTAGAAGATGGCCTAAGTGCCTGGGCCCCTGCACCCACACGGGAGACCAGGAAGAAGCTCCTGGCTCCTGGGTTCTGATTGGCCCAGCTCCAGCCATTGCAGCCAACTGAGGAGTGAATCATCAGATGGAAGACCTCTCTCTCTCTCTCTCTCTCTCTCTCTCTCTCTCTCTGCCTCATCTGTCACAGCAGCTCAGGTCGCAACATGGGATGCCTGGTTCAAGTGCTGGCTACCCCACTTCCCCATCAGCTTCCGGGGAGGCAGCACGTGACGGCTGAAGCACCTGAGTCCCTGCCATCCATGTGGCAGACCCGGATGGAGCTCCAGGCTTCCGACTTCAGCCTGCCTTGTTGCAGGCATTTGGAACGTGAGCCAAGAGAAATCTCTCAGCAGAGCATCCCTTTCAAATAAAATGAACATAAACAGAGAAATAAATAAAAGGCCCCCTGGCAGCTACAAACTGAAAGGGGCTCAGGAAAGGACGGGACACAAGTCCCGAGCCACCTGCTCGGGGCCACACGCCGGGAGGGAGCCCGAGTGTGGGGCCGGCATGGGTGTCTGGGACACTCCCCATGAGGAAGCCCTGCTTCAGCCTTTGATGTCCACGGCCCTGTTTACAGCCACGCCCTGTCCTGCCGGAACTTAAAATGCAACAGAGGCCAAGTGACTCTTGCTCCCCCGGGAGCAACGCCGCTAATTCACATCGCTTGAAGGAGCTCACGGAGGAAAAAGAAAAGGAAAATCCATTCTCTGTTTCCCCTCTGCCCTCATGCAGGCAAATGGGCAGGGCGCGCCAGTTCCAGCACCCACGCACCCCAAAAGCCAACTAGAAAGGTTTCCACCTCCAGAAGATGGGAGCAGGCCCCTTGCTGGCTTCCTTGGGGGCTCAGCTGCCCAGCCCACGGCAGCAGACACGGGGCTTCCGGAGTAGCCAGAACAAAGCAGCACTCCCAGACAGGCCAAGTCGCAACCCATGAACCTTGCGGAAGTTCCTAGCCGGAGTCTCTGGAACCTGAGACTGCAGACGTAGCAGGATAAACAAACAAACAGCCACAGGGCTGGGGAAGAGGCCAGGCCTATGGCGTAGCATTTAAGGCACCTGAGACCCACGTCAGAGCGCCTGGGTTTGAGACTGGCTCCAGGCTCCACACTTCCTGCTCACGTGGATCCTGGGAGGCTGCAGTGACGGCTTGGGTACTTAAGTTGCTGATACCCACATGGGAGCCCTGAATTGTGTTCTCGCCTCTCTGCTTTGCCCCGATCCAGTCCCAGCCTTTTGAGGGGAGTGAACCAGTAGAAGGAGAGCTCTGTTTCCCTGTGTTTCTCAAATTAAAAAACAAACAAACAAAAACACCACAAAACAAAATATAAAGAGCCAGGAAGCCAGAGGCACATAGTGTGGGGAACCAGGTCACCAAGGCACTGCTTTCGGCTGGCTCCTCCACAGAGAGGAGCCTATCACGGTCGCTGCCACCATCTGGCCACGGAGTAAGCCATGGGAGAGGGAACCACACTTAACGTCCATCATATCCTTTATCCGTCAGGGCCAACAGTCCCTGGCCAGCTGCTTGGAGATGAGGGCGGGCCCATGCTACGGCTCCAGGATGAGATACCACTCAACACAGGATGTAGCCCTGAGCCCAGACCCTCACTATAATACCACAGCACCCAGCGCAGAGCTCAGCACCACGTTCTGCTCCACGCTAGAGGCCATCTGCCCACAACCACCTTCTCAACCCCCTTGGCCGCAGTAGCCTTGGCCTTGGCCATGCCAGCCACAGGGCAGTCCCACCCCCACTCCCACACCTGCTTTCCGACCTCACTGACAGCTCCCGCACCAGACCCCTGAAGAGCCACACCGCTCCAAGCACTGTCCAGCGGTAACCCAGCCACTCTCCCCAGGGTCTGCCGCCTCCCCCACAGGACCCCTCAATCAGCTGCCCCCAGCCCTCACTTGACCACCTCCCTGTCTTCGAGGGACTCTGTCGCACTGGTCACCTCCTTGGTGTGTCGACAGGCACGTGGCCCCTCACTGCAGCCCTGCCCCCTGGAACAGCAGAGGCCCCACCAGTGGACACATGGGAACACTCAGGCCCCAGTCCTAAGCCGCTGACCACACACACATCCTCCTCTCCTGCCAGCTGCTCAAATCCTGGCCACAACAGTCCACAGGTGCAGCCCCCATGTCTTCTTCACCCACTCGCGGCCGGCCTCGGCCCCTTCCTCCGTGACCTCTGGGTGCTCACTTCCCTTGTGCGGCATCAACTCCCAGCTCACCGCCAGCTCCGTCTCCCTCTCGTGTGGCCCTGCAGGGCACCTGGCTTGCTGAGGGCCTCACCTTCCTGCCCTTTGCCTTCAGCCCTCTTTCCCCAAAACCCACTCTGGGACCCTGCAGCACAGCCGAGCCATGCCCAGGCCCAGCCTCACCCCCTCCTCACAGACGGCTCATCCTCCTGGTCCTCTCTCTCCAGCCATCCTCCTCCTCGGACCCCTGACTCCCCTTGGACCACCTCACACGCAACTGCCAGATTCACCTTCCCAAGGCAAAAGCTGCGACACCACCCCCTCTGTCACTCAACAACCTTCAGTGGCTCCCTATTGCCATTAAAAGTACACCTCACTCAGCCTGACTTCTGAGTCCCACGTGGTATGACCCAAACCCTCCTACCCAGTCCTCACTGCCCCTGAACCCACATTTCATACCAATCCTCCAACCAAACGCTCCTGCTGTCTCCTGAGCAGGGTGAACGCCTCCCAGCCTGTGAGCTCTTGTCCATCCTGGTCCCTCTGCCTGGAACACCCTCCCCTGCACACCCTCTGCCCCCCGGAAACAGGACAGACAGGAGACTTCCCTCCTACACCCCACAGCATGGCACCTATCTCTCCCAGGGCCTCCGATCCACACTACAGCATGGTTACATGAGGCACCTGCTTGGCCCTGGTCCCACCTGGTCCCCAAGTGCCTCGGCCCCTAGTTAAAGCTGAAGTCTGAACCACCTCTTCTCTCCCAGTGCATCAGGAGGAAACACCCCCTGAAGAACAGATCATTGCTCTTCCATCAACTCTGTCTCTTAAAACACACAGAGGAGGGGCGGGCACTGTGGTGTCTTGAGTTAAGCCTGCACTGCCGGCATCCCATGTGGGTACTGGTTCAAGTTCCGGCTGTTCCACTTGGGATGCAGCTCCCTGCTAATGCGCCTGGGAAAGCAGCAGAAGATGGCCCAGGTGCTCGGGCCCCAGCACCCATGTGGAAGACCCAGAAGAAACTCCTGGCTCCTGGCTTCAGACTGGCACAGCTCTGGCCATTGTGGCCATTTAGGGAGTGAACAGTGGATGAAAGATCTCTCTCTCTCTCTCCCCCTTCTCCCTCTAACTCTGTCTTTCAAATAAATAAAATAAACTTTAAACACACACATATACACACACACACACACAGAGAGGTGGGTGTTGTGCAGTGGTTAAGCTGCTGCTTGGGATACCTGCATCCCATACTGGAGTATCTGGTTCGTGTCCTAGCTACACAGCTTCCCATCTAGCTTCTGGCTAGTGCACCCAGGGGGTACTGAGGCCCCTGCCAGCCACACAAGAGGCCCAGATGGAGTTCCCAGCTGCTGCAGGTATTCGCAGAGTGAACCAGGGATGGGAGCTCTCGCTCGCTCGCTCTCTAACTCTGCCTCTATCTTTTAAATAAATAAATAAATAAATCTTTTAAAAAAAGAAAGCACTGAATACTTAACACCACTGAATTGGCCACTTACAAATGGTTAAGATGGTAAATTCTGTGTAATATGCAATCAATCCATCACTGTTTTGAACAAACTGCAAAGAAGGTGACAAAGGAGAGATCCTGAGGCAACTTAGGACGCAGGTGGGGAGCAGCTGGGCTCACCAGCCTCGCCCTCCCACTCTCCTGGAGGCATGAAGGGGATTTTAAGCCAAAGACACCTGTCAAGTACAGGTATAGGGGCCACAGCTCCAAGCACAGACAGAGGTATTTCCCACCCGTGTCTTAAGTGGGGGGTGGGGTGGGCCACTCTCGGAAGCTGACGTTCACGGATGAGTCAGGGTCTTCAACTCCGAGGCCGAGGATCTGGGCACACACAGAGCCCGGCTGCACACGCCCACAGGGTGAATCTGCCGCGCTCCCCAGTGAGGGGGACGTACAAGGTCACGGCACAAGCTCATCCAGCCCGCCAAATGACCGCTGTGAGTCCAGTGCGACTCAGAGCGGACAGGGAAGTGGACATGGGCGTCGGCAGGCCCACCCTCCACCTCCCGGGCTCTCACCAATGGTGCATGTGGATCCGCTCGTGAAACTGGGAAGGAGCTCAGGTCCAGGATGATCCTATCCACTCAACCACGGGAGATGTCTGAGCCTGGAGACGCCCTGACCCCTTCGCCTAAAAACTCTGAAACCTGCAGCCGCAGGGGCCCCACCGGCCCCCTCCACTGGACCCCGGTGAAGAAGCCATGTTTGCAAGACACAGCTCAGCCTTGTTGGGGCTCACTGACTCTGGCAAGGCAAGAAAACTCTGAGACTACTATACTCAGAGAATAAGCAAGGCACAAACGGACCAAGACTATGAGTCCACTCACAGAAGACCCCCGGGGCGGGCATTTGGCATAGCAGTTAGAACATCTCTCATGCTTGCATCTCAGGTCGGAGTGCCTGAGTCCAGTTCTAATGCAGACCCTAGGGGGCAACAGGTGATGGCTTAAGTATTTGAATCCCTGTCCCCCAAGTGGGAGGCCTAGACTGAGTTCCTGGATCCCAGCACTGGGTTGACCCAGGCGTTTGGGGAGTGAACCAGCAGATAGAAGCTCTGTCTCTCAATAAGTAAATATATAAAAAAATTTCCTTTAAGGGGCTAGGGTTTGAATATGCTCACCATAAAGAAATAACAGAAGCTTAAGGTAAGGACCAGTGTTGTGGCATAGCAGATAAAGCTGCTGCCTGTGATGCCAGCATCCCATATGGGCACTGGTTCTTGTCCTGGCTGCTCCACTTCCAATCCAGCTGCCTGCTAATGGCCTGGGGAAAAGCAGCAGCAGATGACCTAAGTGCATGGGTTCCTGACACCCATGTGGGAGACCTGGATGAAGCTCCTGCCTCTGGGCTTCCGCTTTGCCCAACCCTGGTCATTGCGTCCAGCTGGGGAATGAACCAGCAGATGGAAGATAGATCCTCTCTCTCTCTCTCTCTCTCTCTCTCTCTCTCTCTCTTTCAGATACACAAATAAATCTTTAATAAGAAAAGTTTAAGGTAATGGACATGCTAATGACCCTTCTCCGGTCATTACCCAGCGTGAATCAGAACAACACATTATACACCTCATAGACAAGGTCCAAGTATCAGGTGTCGATCAAAACATTTTTAAAGGGCTCTGGAAGACCACAGCCCTGCAGGCCCCTGGATGGGCAGGTTCTGCAGGTTGGGCCTTGGGGTGGGAGTCACCCGGCTGCAGGCTACAAAAGGAAACCGGCTCAACCACCCCACAAAGTCTTAGCCACCACTTGGGTCCCAGCTTCCCATGGCCCTGGGGCTCTCCCCAAAGCCCAGGTGAAGAGGTGGCCCCACCACTCCCACTGGAGCGTCCACTCACGGCCCTCAGGCCACATGGCCCCAAGACACGCTTGACTGGGTCTCCCCTCACCCTGGACCTGCGGGCACCCCAAGGTAACCCAGAAGGTAACCAGGGCAGGCCCAGCCACCTGTGCAAAACCGCTCTCCTGAGTATCACTCAGCCACAGAAAGCAGTGACGTCCCGACACGAGCACCAGTGTGGAAACCTCATTCTGGGTGCAAGAGGCCGGGATGGGTCCACACCTTAGCAATGCTCCCTCTCCTCTTCCTCCCTCCTTTCCTACTAAAGGAAGAGACACTGTGGTTTTTACTTCCTCTCTGGGTCATTAACCAGGACAGCAATGTGGTTCAAAGCCTTCCTTTGGCAACCTTTGTAAGAAAAACCCAGAAGCCTCTCTTCTTCTCCACCCTCCCCCCCAGAGCCACAAGGCCCAGAGGAACCACAAGGATTCCCTGAGGAGGACCAAGGCCATCCTGCCCCCAGGCTGCTCACCAGTGCGTGGCCTCAAGTGCCTTGGGCGGATCCGGCCATGGCTCTGACATCAGGAGATATGGCTGCTGTCGTTCAGGGGCCACAACGCAGGAAAACACGTACGGCACACCTTGCCTGGTCCCTTTGGATTGCTTTGGGAAAATCCATAGACGAGGTGCCCATAACCAGCTTAGAACTTTATTGCTTACAGCTCTGGGAGGCTGGGAAGTCCCAAGAGCAAAGCATCGGCGGCCTGCGTGGCTGCTGAGGGTCTCCCTCTTGGTTCCTAGGTGGTGTCTCCTAATTGTGTCCTGGAGTGGCAGAGGGGGTGGAGGGAGCTCTCTGGGCACTAATCTCACTCATTACTGCCCCCCACACACACCAAATTCCACTTCCTAGAATCATTCCCTTGTTGGAGTAGGGTAGACAGTCCGCCTGCCCTGGGAAGCCATGAGAAGCAGAAGAAAATAGAGGGAGATGAAGTCCACAGCAGAACCACCCCCTCCCCCCAGGCCCCGGAGACCCACCTTGGGCTGAGCTGAGCAGCTGAGATGATCTGTCCCCACTTAACCACGCCCTCCTCCTAACCACCTCTTGCTAAGTAGCATTCAATCATGCCAGACGTGTGTTGGGGGAGACTCCGCAGAACCAGACAAGAGCCTGCACCTGCCTCTCATATATAGCCCCCCAACAGATGAGAGGTTGCAGTGTGGGGGGTCATCCTCTCCAGCCGACAAAGGCCAAGGGGGAACGACACCCCTGCATGAGGCCACACGGCAGCAAGAGCCAGGGTTCCCAAAAGGGGGTGGGTGCGGATCTTCCACCTTCAAGGTCTGTCTTTTCCCGGGAACTAGGTCCAACAGACGGCGCCCACTGTGATGCACACAGAAGCTCCTCCCGCCGCACTGCACCGCACGCCGATGGACAACCGCAGTGCAACAGAGCAAAGTGCATCTCCAGACACACTTGAGTGGAGGGACCACCCCCCAGCCCTCAACCCCCCGGGCCGCTCACTCCTGGCTCTGCCTGGTTGCCTCCCACTGTGGCTGATGCACTGCGGTTCCTCTTCTCTCAGCGTCCCCTGGCAGTCTCCTCGGCTCCTTCCTTGTGCTCCCTGGGCTGCGCTCCCAGCCTCTGTGCACACGGCCAGCCAGCTCTGCATCTAGCCAGGCCTCGTCCCCCTGCACCTCCCAGAACCTGCTCATGCTGGGGACAACTGATGGCATTTGCAGCCTGTCTCAGCTCAGGCCGAGACGTCTCAGCTCCTGATTCTGGTGCTGGCAAAGTCGAAACAGTATGCACCTTTCTCTCTGTCTCTCCCTCTCACTGTCTATAACTCTACCTCTCAAATAAATAAATAAGTCTGGAGCCATGGCTCATTTGGTTAATCCTCCACCTGTGGTGCCAGCATCCCATATGGGTGCTGGTTCTAATCCCAGTTGCTCCTCTTCCAGTCCAGCTCTCTGTTGTGGCCCAGGAAGGCAGTGGAGGGTGGCCCAAGTGCTTGGGCCCTGCACCCACATGGGAGACTGGGAAGAAGCTCCTGGCTCCTGGCTTCGGATCGGAGCAGCTCCAGCCGCTGTGGCTATTTGGGGAGTGAACCAACAGAAGGAAGACCTTTCTCTCTGTCTCTCTCTGTCTATAACTCTACCTGTCAAATAAATAAATAAAATAATAATAAAAAATAAATAAATAAAACAAATCTTTAAAAAAGAAAGAAACAGCATGCAGCCAGCTGAGAAGCAGGATGTGAACAGACTGTGCAGAAGGGGCAGTGGTGGAGCAAGAAGCCAGAGATTCAGGGAGGTACCAGGCGCACTGCTAACAACCCACTTCTGTGGGAATCCCTACAGATGGTGGAGCCCCCAAGACCTAGTCCTCTTCCGTGAGACCCTACCTCTTAAAGGGTCCAGCACCGCTCAACATTGCCACACCAGGACCAAGCCCCTAGCCCATAAATTCTAGGGAACAGCCCTTGACCGATGAATGACAAGAGTGGAAGGACACACAGTTCTATCTTCCTGAAGACCCCTCCCCACGCTCGTTGCTGGAGGCATCCCAGGGACGAGCTCTGGAAGACGCTATCATCCAGAGTCCTGGAAATGTGCAAAATAAGAGGGGAAACCAGGGTCCAGAGCCGTGGCGCAGCAGGTTGAAGCCTCTGCCTGCAGTGCTGGCATTCCATATGGGTGCCGGTTCAGTCCTGGCTGCTCCACTTCTTATCCAGCTCCCTGCTAATGTACCTGGGAAAGCAGCAGAAGATGGCCCAAGTGCTTGGGCCCCTGCACCCATGTGGGAGACCCAGAAGAAGCTCCTGGCTCCTGGCTTATGGCCAGGTCCAGCCCTAGTCGTGCGGCCTTTGGGGGACTGAACCAGCAGATGGAAGATTGACCGATCTCTCTCTTTCTCTCTCTCTCTCTCCTTCTCCCTCTCCAACTCTGCAATTCAAATAAATAAAATAAGAGAGGGGAAATCAAGTCCCTAGATGACTGACAACTCGAAAGAACGGCCTGGAGTGAGGGGCCGGGTGACTTCTGCTGCAGTTCAGTGACTGCTTTCCCACCAGACTGAAAGGGACCTGCAGCGAGGACCCAGCTCATGCTACTCAGCACCTGCCCTGCCCGAAACAGCAGGTGCACAGGACATGTCTGCCAAGCGACCGATCTAGACTGACCCATACCCCACCAGGGAGTCACTCTGTGTCCCTTCTCCTGCCACAAACATCGCTGCTCAAGTCTGAGGACGGAGGCCAGTGCTGGCCACTCTGCGGTCGCCTTGACCTCGACCTGGGTCATTCCAGGTCTGTGTGTCGGTCTCATGCACCCCCTCGGCCACGACCAGAGGGCGACCTGTAATTTTGATAATTATCTCACTAGAGCCACTTCACAAGATGGTTTTGAGGGCCCAGGAATGTCTCATGGCCTCTGTGAACAAATGACGTGTTTATGACACAGAGTGGGGTGCCCCAGTCTCCCCAGCCCAAGCCCAGGCCCAGGCTGGCGACTGCATCCGTGACCTTGGAGCTGTTCTTTCTTTGAGCATCATTAGCTAACCTCTGGGGCGTGCATTTTTTTTTTTTTTTAAAGATTTATTTATTTGAAAGGCAGAGAGAGCCGGTGCCGTGGCTCACTAGGCTAATCCTCTACCTGCGGCGCCGGCACACGCGGTTCTAGTCCCAGTCGCTCCTCTTCCTGTCCAGCTCTCTGCTGTGGCCCAGGAGTGCAGTGGAAGATGGCCCAAGTGCTTGGGCCCCTGTACCATGGGAGATCCGGAAGAGGCTCCCGGCTCCTGGCTTCAGATTGGCTCAGCTACAGCAGTTGCTGCCATTTGGGGAGTGAACCGGCAGATGGACAACCTCTCTCTCTGTCTCTCCCTCTCTCTGTAACTCTACCTTTCAAATAAATTTTTTAAAAAATCATTAAAAAAAAAAAAAAAAAAAAAACAGTGGGGAAGGGCCCAGGGTGTGTGGCAGGTCCCGGGGGACAGATTCTGTCCTTGTCTTCAGGATCTCACTACCCTGAAGAAGGAAGCCAGACAGACAGAGGATTAACAGGAAACAGCTGCACTCATCCAGCTCAAGGAAGACACACAGCTAGGGGAAGATGCGTTGGCACTACTGGGTTTTGTTTTCATTTGTTGGCTTTTAAAAGACAAAAGACCAACAGCAAACCTGCATGGAGACATCTGCAGGGTATGTGTCCAGGTATGCCTGAGGGATTGAAGAGGCACAGGTGGTTAAAGAAAGGCAGGACTAGGCCGGCGCCGCGGCTCACTAGGCTAATCCTCCGCCTAGCGGCACCGGCACACCGGGTTCTAGTCCCGGTTGGGGCGCCGGATTCTGTCCCGGTTGCCCCTCTTCCAGGCCAGCTCTCTGCTGTGGCCAGGGAGTGCAGTGGAGGATGGCCCAGGTGCTTGGGCCCTGCACCCCATGGGAGACCAGGAAAAGCACCTGGCTCCTGGCTCCTGCCATTGGATCAGCGCGGTGCGCCGGCCGCAGCGCACCGGCCACGGCGGCCATTGGAGGGTGAATCAACGGCAAAAAGGAAGACCTTTCTCTCTGTCTCTCTCTCTCACTGTCCACTCTGCCTGTCAAAAAAAAAAAAAAAAAAAAGGCAGGGCCAGCGCCGCGGCTCACTAGGCTAATCCTCCGCCTTGCGGTGCCGGCACACCAGGTTCTAGTCCCGGTCGGGGCGCCGGATTCCGTCCCGGTTGCCCCTCTTCCAGGCCAGCTCTCTGCTGTGGCCCGGGAGGGCAGTGGAGGATGGCCCAAGTGCTTGGGCCCTGCACCCCATGGGAGACCAGGAGAAGCACCTGGCTCCTGCCATCGGATCAGCGCGGTGCGCCAGCCGCAGCGCGCCGGCCGCAGTGGCCATTGGAGGGTGAACCAATGGCAAAGGAAGACCTTTCTCTCTGTCTCTCTCTTTCACTGTCCACTCTGCCTGTCAAAAAAAATAAAGAAATAAAATAAAGAAAGGCAGAAGGGGCTGGTGTTGTGGTGCACTGGCTAAAGCCTCCACCGGCAGCACCGGCATCCCATGGGGCACCAGTTTGAGTCCCAGCTGTTCCACTTCTGATCCAGCTACTTGCTAATGTGCCTAGAAAAAGCAGTGGAAGATGATCATGTACCTGGGCCCTGCCACCCACAGGGGAGACCCCTGGATGGAGTTCCAGGCTCTGGCTTCAGCCTGGCCCAGCCCTGGCCACTGTAGCTGTCTGGGGAGTGAACCAGCAGATGGACGATCTCTCTTTCTCCAATTCTCTAACTCTGTCTTTCAAACAAATAACTTTAAAAAACATTAAAAAAAAAAAAAAGAAAGAAACAGGAACCAGGATCAGGATTATGGAAAACATTGTATTGAAAAGAATTTTTTAAATTTAAAAGAAATGACCTGACCCAATCCTAACTTTTTAAATGAGAGAAAAGGCAGACCATGGAGCCCTAGGTCGTGGCTAAGTTGCCTAACCTCACCGGACGCTCTCACGAAATCTGTCCTAAAACATAGGTGGGGATGGCCAGCGCAAGCACCGTCTCTCTGCTATGGCAGCTCCCTCCTCCACTGCCCAACAAGGGATTCACTGAGCGTCAAGGGTGGAACCAACTTTCCCATGTCAAAGTCCTGACTCCCCGTGCCTTTGAAGGAAAAGTCTTTCAAGAGGTGACTTAAGTTAAAATAGGTCACCGGTGTAGGCCCTAAGCTAATCTGACAGATGTCCTTATTAAAAGACAATGGGTGGGGGGGGGGCACTGTGGAGCAGCAGGTTAAAGCCCTGGCCTGAAACGCTGGCATCCCATATGGGCACCGGTTAGAGTCCCGGCTGTTCCACTTCCAGTCCAGCTCTCTGCTGTGGCCTGGGAAAGCAGCAGAAGATGACCCAAGCGCTTGGGCCCCTGCACCCACATGGGAGACCCGGAAGAAGCTCCTGGCTCCTGGCTTTGGATCAGCCCAGCTCTGGCTGTTGCAGCCATTTGGGGAGCGAACCAGCAGATGGAAGACCTCTCTCTGTAACTTTGCCTCTCAAGTAAATAAATAAATCTTTAAAAAAAAAAAAAAAAGATCAGAGGTAGGGAATTAAGGATGACGACAGCATGATTCCGGGGAACTGGAAAGAGCCCAACTTGAGTGAAATAAGCCAGACACAGGACAGATATTAAAGGGCTCCACCTACACGAAGCACCCAGGATAAGGGAGTCTGTGCAGAAAACATGGCGGACACCAGGGGTTGGAGGACATGGGGACAGAGTGTTTTCTGAGTACGGAGCTTCAGTCTGGGAAAATCAAAGTCCCAGTGATGGGTAGTAGAGACATTTGCACAACATATGAGCTACACACCAAGGGTCTTCAAAACATTTATGAAAAATGCATATTATAAAAATAATCATGCATGAATTTAAAACTTTCCTTGGGCCTCAAACGAACTTTATCTTTTAATTCCATTTTCCCAAGAACTTCCTGAAGTACTCTTGTATTTAAGGTCTTAAACTGTACACTGAAGTAATTAGGGCTGTCTAGCGCTGTGGTGCAACAGGTTAACCTGCCGCCTGCCATGCCAGCATCCCGCATCACAGCACCAGTTCCAAGTCCCGGCTGCTCTGCTTGTGATCCAGCTCCCTGCTAATGCGCCTGGGAAAGCAGCAGAAGATGGTCCAAGTGCTTAGGCCTCTGCACCCAGGGGGAGACCTTGGATGGAGTTCCGGGCTCCTGGTTCCAGCCTGGCCCAGCACTGACTGTTGCAGCCGTTTGGGGACTGACCCAGTGGATGAAAAACATGTCTCTCTGCCTTTCAAATAAAGCAATATTTAAAAAGAAATAACTAAGGGCAGACATTTGGCCCAGCGCATCCCACATCAGGGCACCTGGTTTCCATTCCCAGCTCTGCTCCTGCTCTGGCTTCCTGCTAATGTGCACCCTGGGAGGCAGCAGTGATGGCTCAAGCAGTTGGGTCCCAGCTATTCACCAAGACCTGGATTGAGATTCCAACTCCTGGATCCTGACTTTGGCCTGGCCCAACCCTGGCTGTCGTGGGCATTTAGGGAGTGAACCAAGGGAACGTGGCTGTCTCTAAAATAAACACATAAATAATTTTTAAAAAAGATGTATTCATTTATTTGAAAGTCAGAATTACACACAGAGAGAAGAAAAGGCAAAGAGAGAAAGGGGGGGGTCTTCCATCCACTGGTTCACCCCCCAATTGGCTGCAACAGCCGGAGCTGGGCCAATCCAAAGCCAGGAGCCTGGACTTCTTCCGGGCCTCCCACACGGGTGCAGGGACCCAAGCACTTGGGCCATCTTTTACTGCTTTCCCAGGCCATAGCAGGGAGCTGGATTGGAAGGGGACCAGCCGGGTCTTGAACCAGCACCCATATGGGATGCCAGCACTCCACACTGCAGCACTGGCTTTCACAATGCCGCAGTGCCGGCCCCTTGCATAAATAAGTTTAATGATCACAATGGTACAAAAGGGAGGCAGAACAGTGGTGCAGCGGTTAAGCTGCCACGTGCAGCTCCAGCATCCCACATCAGAGTGACAGTTCGAGCCCTAGCTGCTCTACTGTTGGATCAGCTCCAACAGTAATCAGCTAATGTGCTTGAGAAAACAGCAGACAGTGGCCCAGATCTCCCAGACACCCTTGTGGGAGACCTGGATTGAGTTCCTGTCCCCTGGTTTTGGCGTGGCCCAGCCCTGTCTGTTGCAGCCATTGGGGAGTGAACCAGTAGATCAAAGATCTGTCTCTCCCACTCTGCCATTCAAATCAATGACTACGTAAGTCTTGGAGCTGGCACTGTGATGTAGTGGGCTGAGCCGCTGTCTGCATGCCAGCATCCCATGTGAGTGCTGGTTCAAGTCCTAGCTGCTCCACTTCCAAGCCAGGAGGTCTGGATGGAGCTCCTGGCTCCTGGCTTCTGCTGGGCCCTTCCCTCCTTCTCTCTAACTCTGCCTTTCAAATATGCAAATAAGTCTTTTAAAAACTCATGCATATGTTGTATACATTCTGCAATAAAATGTCAACAATAAACCCATGCATGCTACATAAACAACATATTTTAATGAAAAAACAACATTTTTCCAAGGGGAAAAAAAAAAACCCTAACTGAGCCACAGTGGTTGCATTCCAGCCAGAGCTGAGGACTCCCAAGGGGTTCATAGTTCATTTAACACACATTCCCTACCCCCAGCCTTGACCCAGAAAGTAGCAGCTTTAGCCAAAATTCAGACCTACTGTTCGGCAACCTAAGCAGGCTCAAGAGGCCCAGTGAGCCTCCGCAAACTCAAACCACAGAGGGAGCAGCGGCCCAGGCCTGGAGCCGCCGTGCTCTCTCCCGGGTGGGTTCTGCGCGCGACTCACCTGCACCCTGTCCTGGCGGGGACAGCAGTCACGTCAGTCACACGAGACTCCTGAGCAAGGGAGGGAGGCGGCTCCCAAAGCCAGAAGCGACAAATGAAGGCAGAGAGTCACAGGGCAGGCATGTTCCCTTGGACACACTCGGGTCAACAACACTCCCTTCTCCTTCCTTAGTGAAATGTTCCGGAATGCTTCGTTCTGTTCCCAAAACAAGTCAGCCGTCCTGAGCCAGACAACCCTAGTAAAATCTGCACTGGGCTCCGTTTCCATCCTGCTGATGGCTTTAGCAGCCCCAGATTCTGGAGCTGCCCACTCTCCACCCGGGGAACTCAAGGCTCCGGTCTCAAGAGGTGCCCGCGAGTGACCTTTCCCTGCCCCCAGGTTACTCAAACCAGTTGTGGGTCCAGTCAACCACTCCAGGGGGAACAAAAAACAAGGCAGTGATCATTCCGGCGCCAACACATCGGGCCAATTAGTGGCTTAATGAAGACGCGACAACGGGCAGTGACGCACGGGAGTTCACGGAGAGACACGAGACCTAAGGGGCACCTGCATAAGGGGGGAGGGGTTCACAGGGCTTGGAGCTAAAGGAGGAAAGGACCTAGGGCTCGTCCTAGTGTTCTGTAAGGAAAAGCTGAAATACCGGGAGGAGATTAGGAGGAGATGGGGTCTCCCACCTGGCTGCGAGGGCCCAAGCACTCGGGCCATCCTCTGCTGCTTTCCCTTGCACACTGTCAGCGGGCAACTGGATCGGAAGCGGAGCAGCCAGGACTCAAACTGGTGTTCATATGGGATGCCGGCATGGCAGGCAGAAGCTTTACCCGCTTTGCCACAGCGCCAGTGCCCTTAAGACACTTTTGAGTGAGTGTGCGACCTCTGAAACCCAGCCCACAGGCTGTGAAAGGCAGGAGAGATCTTCCCTGTGTGCGACACAGAAGGCTGAGACAGGCTCTGCTGGGGGACCAGGAATGCACCTGCACTGAGTCCAGTGCCTGCAGTGCTGGCATCCCATAAAGGTGCTGGTTCAAGTCCCAGCTGCCCCACTTCCAACCCAGCTCCCTGCTGGTGCACCTGGGAAAGCAGCAGAAGATGGCCCAAGCCCTTGGGCCCCTGCAACCCCATACAGGAAGAAGCTCCTGGCTCCTGGCTTGGGCCTGGCCCAGCCCTGGCCATTGCAGCCAACTGGCCAGTGAACCAGTGGATGGAAGATTTCTCTCTCTCTCTGACTCTGCCTTACAAATAAATAAATAAATCTCTAAAAAACCAAAATGGTCAAACCACCTTTAGACAATAAATTTCATGTTATTTATATTTTATCATTAAAAAGAAAGGACTTGATGCAGAGTCACAGATGGCAGACGTGGGTGCCCTCCAAAGACTCTGCTGTCACCACACACACACACACACTCCACTGGACGCTCTGCTGATGGGAGGGCGCTCTCCAGTGCCGCTGCTGCTTCCAAGCTCTCCTATCTCGTTCCCATCTGACACACACGGATTTCCCTGTCGCCCATCAATCTGTAAGCTTCGAGACAGCAAGGATCACTGACACTACACAGCCCATGCGGCACAGCAGGGAAGCAGCGGTTGCACAGGGCAGGGCTCGTGGCCACGTGCTCTGACCCCTCAGGCTGACCCTGGGAGTTTGGAGCCGGAAGGACCCCTGGACCGGCCTGTCTGGTGGGGAGAACGCAGCAGGACAACCACGTGCGGGAAGGAAGAACGGCTCCTTGTCCACGCCGGCCCTGCGGCCCTGCACTCTCACTTCCTTGGTGCATCCTTATTGGCACACAGACAGCTGATGAGGAGCTCACGAAGGGCCTTGCACCAAGCACCTTGTCACCATGCCCGGAACACAGCAGCGTGGGGTGAGCTCAGCTCCTCCCCTCAAACATAAGGGGCTCTCAGCTCTGAAAGAGAAGCGCCAGCCCACTCCCCCAGTGTGCAGCCATCAGGGGCAAGCCAGCGCGTCCACCTGAGCATCAGCGTGACCTCGGCCCCCTCCCCACATCGCGATTTTTCCACACTTCTCCTTTTCAAGCCAGCAGGCTCCATGGCCATCCACAGAACATCAGTAAACAGCCCAGGGACAGATGGCCAAGCCTGCACGGGATCCCTCTTTCTCCTACGGCAGGGCACAGAGCTTAAAGGCTCCCAGGGCTAAATCGATCAGCAGTTTGGTTGTCTGAAGATTTACTTACTTATTTGAAAGGCAGAGTTACAGAGAGAGACGGGGAAGGAGAGATCTTCCATCCACTGGTTTACTCCCTAAATGTTTCCAGCAGTCACGGCTGGGCTGGGCCAAAGTCAGGAGCTTCACCCAGGTCTCTCACAAGGGTACGGGGGCCTAAGGACTTGGACCACCCTCCGCTGCTTTCCCAGGTGCATTAGCAGGAAGCTGGATCAAAAGTGGATCAACCAGGAGTTGAACCGGCGCCCATATGGGATGCAGGCATCGCGGTGGCGGTTTTACCCGCTGTGCCACAGCGCTGGCCCCTCAACCGGGGAGTCTGGAAGTCCAACAGCTGGTGCGACCCCAAGAGTGAACCCTAATGAGAACCACAGACTCTGGGGGGCAGTGCTGTAACAGTCCAGGTTCATCCACGGCAACACACACACACTTCTGCTGGGCAGAGGTTATGCGGGAATCTCCACATTCTCCACGCAATTTTCCTGTGAACTTGAAAGCACTCTAACAAACCGTCCTGGGGCCAGCATTGTGGCCCAGTGGGCTAAGCCGTCATCTGCAATGCTGGCATCCCATACAGGTGCTGGTTGGAGTCCCAGCTGCTACACTTCTGATCCAGCTCCCTGCTAATGTGCTTGGGAAAGCAGTGAAAAGTGGCCCAAGAACCTGGGCCCCTGCACCCACGTGGGAGACTCAGATGGAGTGCCTGGCTCCAAGCTATGGCCTGGTCTAGCCCTGGCTGTTTGAGGAGTGAGTGAATCAGCAGAAGGAAGACATCTCTATCTATCTCTCTCTCTCTCTCTGCAACCATGCTTTTCAAATCAATCAATCTTTAAAAAAAAAATGCCCTTTAAATAAAAAACAGGGCAGGCATTTGGCATAGTAGTTAATGCCAGCACTCACAGAGTCTGGATTTCAGTTTCAGCTCTAATCCCAACCCCAATTCCCTGCTCAAGTGCACCCTGGAAGGCAGCAGCTGATGGCTCAAGTACTTGGAGCCCTGCCACCCACGTGGGAGACCCGGACGAAGTGCTGGCTCCCAGCACTGGCCTGGCCTGGCCCTGGCCATGTGAAGAGTGAAACAGAGCTTTCTCTCCCTGCCTCTCAAATTAAAAACAAAACAAAAAAACTCATAATTTGGGGGTAAAAAATAAAACCTGTTAGGATCCAGAAAGTCCTAAGAGTGCATCCAGGCTGTACACGTTCCATTCCCTGAGAACCTGCTGCGTGGACTGCAGGCACCAGGCCTCACTTCCCTCCGGTTCCTAACTTCAGCCGCTCCTCCGATTCACATCTGGGGTCTCGGCACGTGGCGGGCAACACGGCCGTGTGTACAGGCGCTGCAGAGACGGCTGGGCCCAACTTTCTGGAGACTCAGAATTCCCCACCTGCAAGCAATCCTCATCTCAGACAGCAGCTCTCCACGAAGGCCTTTCATTTTCTTCATGAATCATGGTCCCCGGGCACCACCAGGGGCCAGTGCAAGCTGGCCTGCCCAGACGACAGCTGGCCGGACAAGGCCGGTGCCCGGGAACCTCAGGGCAACCCTCCAGACCCTGATGTGCCTGTAGAACTGGCTTCTGCCTCCTACCACCTTCCGCCCCCGACTGGGACTTGGGAAACCTACAGCCTCCTGCCCCCAGCCAGCGACTTAGGAGAAGCAGCTGGGCCAGGCGGCAGGTCCCAGCCAACCCCAGCTGTAAATGGAAGATCGGCACCTGATTAGTCCTTAAAGCAAACACGACAGAGTGTCACGGAGCCAAAACTAGACTCACTGGTTTCCAGAGGATTCTGACAAACGACACGCATGCAACTGCACCGGCAGAAAAAGAGAAAATCTATGAAGCAGAACACAGGATCAGCCCTACAGGGCCCAGGACTCCAGGAGATGCCCACGGCCTCCCAAAGCCCCAGCCACCCATGCTCCTCTCCCAACCCCACTTGCGAACTGTGCCTGGATCTCAAAACCTAGTCCTGAAGCTGGCACTGTGGTGTAGTTGATAAAGCCACCGCCTGTGGCGCCGGCATCCCATATGGGCACCAGTTTGTGTCATGGCTGCTCCTCTTCCGATCCAGCTCTCAGCTATGGCCTGGGAAAGCAGTGGAAGCTGGCCCAAGTCCTTGGGCCCCTGCACCCACATGGGAAAGCCGGAAGAAGCTCCTGGCTTCAGATCGGTCCAGCTCCAGCCATTGCAGGCAACTGGGGAGTGAACCAGTGGATGGAAGACCTCTCTGTCTCTTCCTCTATCTGTAATTCTGCCTCTCAAATAAATCTTTAAAAGAAGAAAAAAACAAACAAACAAACAAACAAAAAACCTAGTCCCATTGCTCCAAGCACCTTAATGGTCTCTGGATGCAGCATGAAAGTCAGGTGCACAATGCCCTGGGCTTAACCTCAAGGCTGGGGACCAGGCTGCCAATGGAAGCTCAAAGCAATCCCCTGTGGGTGTTCATCCTTGGGAAGGTAGGATCTCGGAAAGCGGCCGCCGGTTAAGACCCACGGTGGAGCGGGTGACTAACGATGGGTGAAGCCTTCCATCAAAGCCAGGAAGATCAGAACGGGTGTGGCTCTTCTGCTCCAGCCCTGGATAAAATCATCCCATTGATTTTTTTTTTCCGACAGCCTGTTGAGTCACAACTCCCCGTCACCTCGCTTCCTTCTGAATGCCGATCCACACCTGCTCCGACTTGCCAGCCGGCGAACCTGACACTTCTGTGGCCTGGCAGCGGCCGGCACATCTTGGGTTCCCCGAAACGTGTCACACAACCCCTTCAGGACAAGCGACCGTGGCTGCAGGGATTGCCCAAAGTGCAGATCAGTCCTGGCTAAAGGCAACCGGCTGAGGCGGTAGAGGGGACCCCAGCTTTGTGACACTTTGTGAACTGGAGGGGGGAAGGGACCCCAAAATAAAGAGGTGACCCGGCTAGGACATCTGCGTCCCAGCTCCCAAACTGGAACTCACAAGAAGTTCGGTGCCGTAGAACCAAAGGAACCCGCGCCCACCCCACCTACCCCTTCCAAATACTGAGAATCCACCTTCAGGAAAAACAGGGCTGGCGTTAGCTCACGCACAGTATCAGCATGAAGCCACAACTCTTCTTAAAAAAAATAAAATAAAATAAAAAAACCTGCCATTCCCCATTCCTCTCTCTATTACAACTTCTTCCATATCTCTTGCCATCCCCTTTCTTTAACGGTTTCTCGCGCAGCGCGGCGGGAGGCGCCAAGTGTGCCCAGCCATGGCCCGCACCCCTGGAAGGAACTCACCTGGGTCCCCCTGGAAGGCGCTGTCCCCATCGCTGGGCCAGATCTGGCCCGTCTTTCGGACTCCCACGATGGTGGCCTCCGACACCACGACCGGGCACTGCCGGTGCCGCTTCTGGCACTGCGGCGTGGGCGGGCTGCTGCTGTCCAAGGACTGCTGCGAGTTCTGAGACGGGGAGCGACTCTTGTCCCGGAACGTGCGGTAGGCGGTGGGGCTCGGGGAAACGCGGCTGGACTGGCCGGAGGAGAAGTCCTCCTCGCTGGACGTGAGGTTTTCGTTGGAGCTGCAGTCCGGCGTGTAGCCGCCTCCGCTGTCCTCAAAGCTCCGGGGCGAGTAGGACCTGCGCGGCCAGGTGAGGCGCTTCTCCTGCTCCGAGGTGCTCTGGCTGCGCAGGAGCGGGCCCGGGGCGCCCTTGCCCTCGCCTTCCACCATCATGCCCCCGACGTAGATGCTCTGGTAGGGCTGGTACTCCAGGGGCGGCCACGGGGGCCTGCTCCCGCCATTGGCATGGATCACGTTGTCCTTAAGGAAGCGGGGGTTTAGCTCTGCGTCCTCGTAGTCGCCGTCGAGGCCCCCAAGGCCGCCGCTCTCCGAAGAGCGCCCCCGGTAAGAGGGCCTGGACGCGTCGCCCGCACCCTGCCCCTGCCCGTGCTGGGACTTCTTGCGCTCCATCTGCATGGCCTGGGTGCCCAGCGAGCTAATGCGGTCCGACACCTCCTTGTCATTGACCTTCACCAAGCCACGCTCGTGGTGAAACTCGACGTTCACGTAGAAGGGCTTGTCCGCCTCCGACGATGCCGCGCCGGGGCCCCTGCGGATCCGCTCGAAGTTGGACCTGAGTGCCGCCACGCTGGTCGGGGGCCCGCGGTCGTCGCGCTCCGCGGGTCCGGGCCTGCGCGCGGCGGCCGCGGGCTTGGCTTTGCCGCCCGGGGAGCCCTCGCCGTCGGGCCGGGCCTCGGGCTCCTCGCCGGCCGAGGCGGCGGCGGGCTGCGTGTCGGCACCCTCGGCGGCGGGCGGCGGGCGCGACGCGGGCGCGCGGGGCTCGGCGGCGCCGTCGGGGGGCTGCGCGGCGCGCCGGAAGCCCCACCGCTGGCGGTCGTAGCTCTTCTTCTCCTTGGCCAGCAGCGTCTGCAGGTAGATCATACGGAAGCGCTCCTGGTTCACCTCCTGCTCCAGGCGCCGGATGGAGGCCTTGCAGCGCTCCAGCTCCTGCTCGATGTCGCCCACCGAGCGCAGCTCCATGCGCGGCGGCTCCGTGTCCGGGAACTGCGCCTTCCACGCCTCGGCGAAGCCCACCGGGTCCACCATGGCGCGGCCGGCCTCACCTGCGCCGCGGGGAACTGCGAGCAGGAGCCCTCCTCAGCGGCGGCACGGCCACCTCACCAGGCCCGGCCCGGGTCGCCGGGCAGCCCCCATGGCCCCCGGCGCGGCGGCGGCGGCGGCGAACAATGCCCGCCCCCTCCCGGGCGGCAGGTGAGGCTGCCGGCTCGGTTTCCCCGGGGGGCGCGCGGGCGCGCGCGCGCGGACAGGGACGGGGGCGAGGCGGGGGGGAAGGGCGCGGGGCTGCGCGCGCCGCTATTGTGTGCGGGGTTCCTCGGCGCGGCGCCGGGCGGGCAGTGCCCTCGGCTGGGCCCCGGCTGCCGCTAGCCCATGGCCGCGGCGTGCGCGCTCCGCTGCTCTCCGCTCCCGCGCCGCGCCGCGCCGCCGCCCCGCCGCCGCGGCCGCCGCCTCCTCCTCCCCGGCGCGCCGCGCTGCGCTCCGCTCGGCCCGCTCGCTGCGCACTCAGCGCCGGGCCCGCACTCGGCGCCGCAGGAAGGGGCGGGCCGGGGGGCGGTGGCCGCGGCGCGGCTGACGGAGCGGGGCGCGCCTCTTAAAGGGGCCGAGCCGCTGCCTCGCCCGCTCCGTGCGCGCTCGTGGGAAGGCTCCGACGGCGGTGCACTCGGCTGGCAACTCCGAGCCCAGGGTCCCCGTAAAAGGGACGCTGGACCGGCTGGTTGCACGAGGGTCGGGGTCGGGGGAGCTCCTTCCTACGCAGAGCTGCGCTCGCCGAGCGGCGGGGCCTGAGCGCTCCCGGGAACACCCAGCGAGGCCGGGTCACCAAGGGGTTCCCCGGGGGCTGGAGACAAGTATCAGCTGCCACCCGGGATCGTCACCCTCCATAGAATTTCTCCCACGCAAAGTCACTCAACCCCGCATCTTCCTTCCTGCTGTCCCGGTCCGAGTGTATCGGTCCCCTGGCCTCTCCTGCGCTCCGGAGGCCAGGGTAGGTTGTCCAGCAACTTCCTGACCACGGACCTACCTGGCTTAGTTCACCCCGGGCGTGGGGAGCCGGATAGGAAGGCAGGGCGGCCGGTAGCAGGTGGAAAGGGAAGCCGCCGTCGGGGAGTCCCAGGAAGCAGAGTGCACGCTGCAGGGAGTCGGAGGGGCGCAAGATGAACTTTACCCAAACCTGCCCGCTGCGTGATCACCTCCTCCCTATCTCCCCACCGCACCCCCCACCCCGTGCCTCAGTTTCCTGAGCGCTTGTCTCCCAGGACTGCATGGATGGGAGAAGCTAGCAGGCCTTCCGCCCCCAACCCAGCGCCAGGGCCCCCACTCCTGTCCCTCCACCCCCGAGCCTGTGCGCGCCCCCCCGCCCCGCAACAGAGCCCTGGCTGACAGCCGCACCGGCCTGGTTCAGATCTAACCCAGGCTCACTGCTAGGAGACCTCAGCAGGTCTCTTCCGCCAGGTCCCTTCCCCCTCCCTGGGCCTCAGTTGTGTCCTCATCTGTGGAGTGTTGTGACCACCGTATGTAAGGCACACTCCATTCATCAATGGCATGCGGGGTTCGCTGCCTGTTCACGTTGGTGCGGCTGGAAAGCCCTGGGGAGCGCAGCTGCCAGTTCGCCCAGATACTGTGCGGCTCACTGCCGCCCTCTGCAGGCCTCTGGGAAACGCTGCGGCCCTTCCCGCCGACGGCTTTATCCCCTGCTAAGCCCATTACACCTGCCAGGGAACTGAGCTGGGGGGGGAGTACTCTGACTTCAGGACTAGTAGGGCAGAAAGGGGCTGCGGTGCTCTCTTCCTCAGTGGTCGCTTCTTCAAAATGGGTATAAAAATTGTAACTTCGGGGGGCTGGCGTTGTGGCATAGAAGGTAAAGCCGCCACCTGTGTCACCAGCATCCCATGTGGGTGCTGATTCATGTCCTGGCTGCTCTACTTCCAACCCAGCTCCCTGCTAATGCACCTGGGAAAAGCAGCAGAAGGTGGTCCAAGTGCTTGGGCCCCGACACCCACGTGGGAGACCTGGATGAAGCTGCTGGCTCCTGGCTTCAGCCTGGCCCAGCCCCAGCCATTGCAGCCATCTGGGAAGCAAATCAGCAGATATAGATTCTCTCTCTCTCTCTCCCTTTCTCTGTTTTAAATAAATCATTTTTTTAAATTGTGACCTCACAAGGTCACAGTACAGGCAATCTTCTCCAAATGACCTCTTCAGGCCAAGCAAGGTGAGAGCCCAGACCTGCCTTCCCTGACCGTCAGCAGGAAGGATCCTGCCCTCTCCCTCCCGCCCCTATGCTGACCAGGCCCCTTTAGTTCCCACAGGGGTGCTGCAGTTCCCAGGCCCCAGCTCAGCTCCATCTCGAGCATTTTTATACACAAGCAGGCTCACTTCAGAAACTCTGACGCTGTTCCGCTTGCTTTGCAGGCTGTGTTCTCGATATAGCAGATAGCTAGCGTTGGGCACAAGGGCACATCCAGATAGCGGCTTTCTCCCCTCTCCAAAGAACAGTCTCTTCTGGCCCCAAGGACACTCCTGCATCCTGGGGACTTCCCACCCTGGGGCCCTGGGCCGCTCCAGCCACAGCCTTCTTAGCTTCCGCCCTTCCCCAGGGAGAAGGAGTGAGGAGGGACACAGGCTCCGGACGCAGGTCTGGCTCCATAAACTCTGCAGAGATGCAGGCCTCCTTGTCTTGTTCCCCCCCTCTACGTATGCCCCAGTACTTAGCATACAGCAGGTGCTCAGCCAGTCCTGGCTGAACAAGGACTCTGTGTGTGTGCTCCAGAGGAGTGAGAGGCAGATGTTTATGCGAATGACAAAGCTGCGAAAGCCAGGTCAAAGGGGCAGGCATTAAGATGCCAACTGGGGGCTTGACACTGTGGCGTAGTGGGTAAAGCCACCGCCTGCAGTGCCGGCATCCCATATGAGCACCGGTTCGAGTCCTGGCTGTTCCATTTCTGATCCAATTCTCTGCTATGGCCTGGGGAAGCAGTAGAAGATGGCCCGAGTCCCTTGGGCCCCTGCACCCATGTGGGAGACCCGGAGGAAGCTCCTGGCTTCTGGCTTTGGATTGGTGCAGCTCCAGCCATTGCAGCCAACTAGGGAGTGAACCAGCAGATAGAAAATAGAAAACCTCTCTTTCTCTCTCTCTGCCTCTCCTCTCTCTGTGTAACTCTGACTTTCAAATAAATGAATCTTTAAAAGAAATGCCAATTGGGACACTGGCATCCTGTATGAGTGCCTGGGTTCAAGCTCCCAGCTCTGCTCTTGCTAACCAGCACCCTGGGTGGGGTGGGCGGGGGTAACAGGTGATGGCTCAAGTAGTTGGATCCCTGCCACTTACTTATATGGGAATCCTGGATTGAATTCTCCATGCCCCAGCTTCAGCCCATCCCAATCTAAGCTATTGTGGGCATTTGGGGAATGAACCAGCACATGAGTTCTTTTTCTATCTGTTTCTCTCTCTCTCTCAAAATGAAATTTAAAAAGGCCGTGCCTTAGCAGCGATGTGTGTGCTGTATGAGGCATTCAGGAGCGGGCAGAGGAACAGGGAAGGCTTGCTGGGGCAAGTGGCACCTGGGCATGTCCAAAGCACAAAGCACAGATTGGAAGAAAAAAAAAAGACTTCAAAATTTTCCCTTTTTTTTTTTTTTTTTTTTGACAGTTAGACAGTGAGAGAGACAGAGAGAAAGGTCTTCCTTGCATTGGTTCACCCCCCAAATGCCCAGTACGGCTGGCGCACTGCGCTGATCTGAAGCCAGGAGCCAGGTGCTTCCTCCTGGTCTCCCATGGGGTGCAGGGCCCAAGCACTTGGGCCATCCTCCACTGCACTCCGGGGCCACAGCAGAGAGCTGGCCTGGAAGAGGAGCAACCGGGACAGAATCCGATGCCCCGACCCCGACTAGAACCCGGGGTGCCGGCGCCACAGGCGAAGGATTAGCCAAGTGAGATGGCCTTTGTTTTTTAAGGGACAGACAGACTAGAAGGTGAAGCCGATGTCAGCAGCAGGAGACACCTTTGTAGGCCTGTACGAAGTCTGGGTTGGGAGTGGAATTCAGCCTTGTGGTTAAGATGCCCATATCTCGTATCCTCCCTGGGTTCAGTCCCGGCTCTGGCTCCTGGCTCTGGCCGCCCGCCGTTGCAGGCCTTGAGAAGCAACAGTAATGACACAAATATTTTGTGCTCCTCTTACTCGCGTTCTGGATTGCATTTCTAGCTCCTGGCTTCAGCCCCTCTGTATGCCTCTCAAATAACTAAAAAATAATAGTTAAAAAAAAAAAAAAAGGTTGAGGACGGGCATTTGGTACATCAGTTAATACACTGCTTGGGACACCTGCAGTGTCCTATGTGAGAGTGCCTGGGTTGGAGTCCTGGCTCTGTCCGGATCCCAGCTTCCTGCCAGTGTGCGCCCTGGGAGGCAGCAGGTGACAGCCCAAGGAGTTGGGTCCCTGTCACCCGTGTGGGAAACCCAGATAGAGTTCCAGGTTCTTGGCTTCTACCTGGTCCAGCCTTGGTTATTGCAGGCATTTGGAAAGTGAATCAGTGGGTGGGATTGATCAATCTCTCTCTCCCCCACCCACCTTTAAAATAAATAAATAAATAAATAAATAAATAAATAAATGTTTAAAAAAAGAAGAGGGGGCTGGCACTGTGGCGCAGCTGGTTAACACCCTGGCTTGAAGCGCAGGCATCCCATATAGGCGCCGGTTTGAGTCACAGCTGCTCCACTTCCGATCCAGCTCTTTGCTATGGCCTGGGAAAACAGTGGAGGGTGGCCCAAGTCCTTGGGCCCCTGCACCCATGTGGGAGACCCAGAAGAAGCTCCTGGCTCCTGGCTTCAGATCAGTGCAGCTGCGGCCATTGTGGCCAACTGGGGAGTGAACCAGCAGATGGAAGATCTCTCTCTGTCTCTCTCTCTGCCTCTCTCTCTACCTCTCCTCTCTCTGTGTTACTCTGGCTTTCACATAAATAAATAAATCTTAAAAAAAAAAAAAAAAGAAGAGTTTCATTCTAAATGCAAGCAAAAGCCACTGCCAAGGTCTCAGCCTGCAGCCTCGGACAGGGCCTGGCACTGTGTTGCGCGTGTTCTGTTCTCTGCACGGATTACATGTGTGGGGGCCCCTGGTCTCCTTACGTGACCACTGGGCACCTCACTTGTCACTATGGCTGCTGAAGAACTGAATTTTCCGTTCGGTTTAACTCTAGTGAATGTAATAGCTGCTTGGCTTATCGTAATTATACATACACAAAAAATTAGGAAAGTAGAAACCAAGCATTGAGTAACATGTGCATAAAATTCCCTCCCTATTCCTTTTATTTTACGTGAGTGTGGCCGTGTTTTGGCCGACAAGTTCTCAGGTGGAATTGAGCTAACCTGTGAAGACATGACAATATTTGACTTGACTTTGTTCTTGAACTTGTGGGATGCATGATGGATGTATATTTTCAGTCTTTATTTTTGATTTCAGGCAAT